GCTAGTGATATAGCTTAATGCAAAGGCTCTGGTTCAATTTGCAATACCACAAACAAAGCAAAACAATACATCTCATGGGTTAAGTCTTTAATATCATTCTTAGGTGGCTCATAATCACCTGAAAGTTATTATAGTCAAACCAAATGAATAAATTCTGCCTATAAAAACCTATAAAACTTGTTCTCCTCTAGTTTTTGCCATTGTGATCACTAGCACTATATACCTGATTCTGCAAGCCGAAATTATTCTTCCTTGTTTGAGATCGGCACATTATAGCCATGCCTGTATTGGCTAGGGTACTCTCAAGGAGCAGAATCAATAGGAAAATACATGTAATTATGCAGGAGGCTTTATTAAGTAAGCTTAAGGGATCGGGGACAAATAGTACACAGTGGCCATCTGTGTGCTGGAGAACCAGAGGATCCATTAGTTACTCAGTGTGGAAGCTGGAAGCTACTGAACATAAGGGATCAGAGATACAGTGCCAGTCTGAGACTCATGGCCTGGAAGCTCCCTGAATAGTTGTGTGCCTTCAGTGAAAGCATGAAGAAATTGGAATCTGGGGTGAATAGGCAATGACAGTAGCAAAAGAAACATGCTCTGAAGCAGAAGGGAGTTTTGTAAGAATGCAAATTTTTTCTTCTTCCCTTTGACTCCATTTGAATTGCAGGCTTATTGGATGGTACTGTCGGGAGCAACGCTACATAATTTTAGGGTAAAATCATTTGGTTAGCTTAATTCTCTTGCCTATAGCCCAGCTATGGAATTCCGAGACATAACTCCATTTTGGCCTCTGGTCACAACTGAGACCTCAATGGTCCAGTGATGCTGTGATTCTCCAGGACAAGAAACATCCTGGGAGCTGAAAACATCCCGGGAGGAACAAACATCTACTCAGTTCCTCATTGTTCTTGGACTGTTACCATGTTATTTACGCGGATGTACTGAACTCTCTGCAAGTCATTCGTTACTCCTGATAGACTGAGTACTGAATAAAAGGTGTGGTAAGCTGGGGGCTTTCATCTTTGCCATCCAGAGCAGCACTGATCAGACCCAAAGCTCAGCTTCTTCTCAGTCTCATTTTTCTACCCTTCCTGTAATTCACCTTGTTCTGCTGTGGCTCACAGGAGACTAGGACTTACTGCAGAGGTTCTAGTAACATCTCCTTTTCCTGTTCCCTACATTTGGGGCCCAACTTGGATGTGAATCAGACCCAGGGATGAACTCGCCTGTGAGACAAACTCGGAGTAAGAGAGACAGCACATGGATCTCCCAGGATGACTTCTGGACTTGGACGAGGGACACTGGTGGTAAGTGTGTCCAGCTGGGGGTAATTTTTTACCTTTGCTGAGTTACAACTATGAGTCAGTCTCTGTCATCGGAGCAGTGTAACTTTGCCAAATTACTTAAGTCTCTGTTAAAGAAAGCTGTGCACCCAGTACCTAAGGATGCTGTGATAGATTTGTTAAAAGACATACAAATGTACATCCCATCTTTTCTCCAGGAAGGGACAACTAACTTAATAGCATGGGAATGTGTAGGTACCACTCTCCATGAGGCCTGGTGAAGGGGTGACCATCTCTCCCCCTGAATGCTCCCCACTTGGGCCTTAGTCCATTCTGCTCAGAGGTCAGAGTTGCTAGCCATTTTATTTGTGATTGAAAACTTCCCTCCCCAACCTCTTAATATTTTAAGCGATTCCTCTTATGCAGTTTGGTTGACTCAAAGACTGGAAGGAGCTATGGTCTGCTCTACCTTAAAACCTAAATTATTAAACTTGTTTTTAAGATTACAAAAGGCCATATGTCAAAAAATTGCTCCTGCCTTAATAACTTGGGGGAGAGGTTTTGCCTGTGTCCCAACAGATAATGAAAAAACCTTGTGGCTGCCCTCCTGGAATGTGAGGCTGTGGGTCACACTGGTGGAACCGCCAACATCTCAGAGACCAGGGATAGCACCCTGGCTGAGAGCGATGAGACAGCTGCACCTGAGTGACCCACCTCACCAGCAAAGGCTGACAGGTCCACAGTGGGGTCCAGGATTGAGATGATGTCCCCAGAGGAAGAATAAATATAGATTTAAAAGGGGGGGGCATGAATTGAAAACGTTCTTTTTACATTTATAGGTATAAAAGTGCTTGCATTCCTTCTGATTCTAATCTCAAGAGATCTCTGTTAATTGACTACAAAAGTTTTTGACCAGTCTTATATACAATTATAAATCTAAAAATCATAAAAGGGATACTATAACTCAATTTGGCCAAATATATTTGTATGCACTCTAATTTTATAAATTGTCTTATATGTTTGTCTGTTGTCTGTTTGTCCATCTATACAGTTGAGCTCAAAATGTTTTCTCTCTCTCTTTTCCTTTTCACCTTTTGAAAAAATTTTTTTTTTCCTCAAATGATATTCACCTATTATTGGATTGGCTTACAGATAAATATTATTAAATTAAAGGCATGCCCTTTTTCCCCCAGGTTGCTAACTGATCAAAGTGCCATTGAGATTTATTTTTCAAAGTACATAGACACTGTGGGTACTCCTTTTGGTGAATAAAGAAGTGGCCACCCAGAAAATAATTATTCTGGTCTTAATTCACTAAAGGGACCCCCTAGTAATTTTCATAATCTTATGGGAGACACACCGCAATAAATATTATCTATGTTATTGTCTATGTTATTATAAATTAATTACATTGCTTATCATTGAAGTTTAAGTTCTAAATATATTATAAAATGTTTATATTGGTT